CCCCCCACCCTCTCCCAGGAAGCTACAGCGCTCGTTACCTGCACAAGGTCAATCTGCCCATCCTGTCACGGGACACGTGTGACTTCCTGCTTGACCGACCTCTGACCTCTGGTGAACTTTGCGCCGGATACAGACAGGGAGGTCAGGACGCATGCCAGGTACGTTCCCATAAATAAATTTAATGTGTCACGACGCAGTGAAATCAGGCGCTCATCAAATTTTTGGGCATATATGGAATTATTGGTATCATCTTCACCTTTTTATTTGACTTACTTTCGATGAAAAAAAATATCCATCTATCTGGAATCGAAGCTGAGATATATGTGAGGCAGCGTGGTGGAATCAGGCTCTCGTCAAAATAACAAAAGTGAAGAAACTTGCATTTTTCCGCAGGTTTGTCAATTTTTATCATTTTTTTTTGTTTTTTTGTTTTGGATTGACACCTTTCATGCCCATTAAAGAACTAACTTCTGCGTGGAATTTTCTGAAAAACGTTGGTTAAAGGCACAAAAAATGTAAATTTTCAGTTACCACGGACTCTTAAGCTTTGGAAATAACCTATCTTTGGTGGCCATTTTTTTCGCTAATTTTACATTTGAAACCAGGCGAACCCGACCTCTTTCAATCACAAATATTTCGACTTAAATTCGAGATAGGTATGTATTTTTGTCCTCAAAAGATGGCCAAATGAACAAGCATTAAGATGATAGCAATATAATCTCCAGACGCTCAAAAACTGACGAGCGCCTGATTCTACCGTGTCTCGACACATATATGCGATTGAAGGAGGCGGGAGGCGCCTGGTTTAAGAGGTAAAAATTAGTGAGAAAAAAAAAAATAGCCGCAAAGTTAGATCTAGGTGACTTCCATAGCTTGAGAGTCCTTTGAAACTACAAGATTACATTTTTCTGGTTTTTGGATTAACTTAAAAGGTGATGAGCCAAAAGCCAAAAATTGGATGAAAATTCCCTAACGAGTGGATAGATCTATATTAAATATATATAATTATGTAAATGCCAGTTTCTTTGATTTCATTATTTTGACGAGAGCCTGATTCCATCACGCTGCCTCACATAATCTTTTACCAATAATATTGTGTCGTGACATGAAGGAATAAGTAGTGGTGGGCCGGGTTTTTTTGTTTTTACATTCTAATCTTTTTAAAAAAATTAATTATTTATATTTATATCGTACTATTATAATTATTTTTTGGCCTATTATTATTAGGCCTATTACATGTATTATTTTAATCTGAAGAAACAATTGTTTTGGGTGTCTGTACGTGGGGATAGCCTCAGATTCCTGATTCTTGAAGGCTAGGAATCGTAGGAATGGAGTCCAAATCCAGTTATTTTCTACTGATGTGATTTATTTCAGGTAGTCCATGATTACTTCCATTGAATCTGACCCCCCAGACAATTACTTGAATACTTCTGGCGAGTGGTGATTACCTTTGGTAGCGAGTACATGATTACTTCTGATGAATCAGTTATCGGTTACTTGATTGACTTCGATCTGCTTCAATTTTCTGAATAACCTCGATTTCGGAATATGGCCTGCGAGACATCAGAGTCCTTTTTTTTTTCTTTCAAAAATATATTTATAAAAAATGAAAAAATAGTAAAGTGATTAGTATAAACTGTTGGTTCACGTAAAATTGAATCAATATGTTTTGTTCGAAGCATCAGTTGCGGGAATCTGTTCCTGAATCGATTCTTCCCCAAACTTTAGAAATAAGACGTCGAGCGAGCGTCAATAAATTTTGGGCAAATGAAGATATTGGTATAATTTTAAAGCTTGTAAATTTGCTTTGCTTTTGATTTTTAAAAAAAAGGAACATACCCTCATGAGAATAAAGTTCAGGTCTTCTGTGAGCTGCATGTGACAGTGATGGGCCTAATCACTACACCATGCGCTGGCACCGCTAATTAATTAATTTTAAGTGTCTGGTATGGCACACGTACAGTGAAAATGGTGAAATGGTATGAGTTTAATGCCCCTATCAACACTATTAGGTTATTTAATCACGTACAGTAAACTGTCCAAGATGGCCATCTATACATGAGGATAAGAATTATCATCTTTGACAGGTGATCCTCTTGAACAATGTGGGTGGTTGGCGGGTGCTCTGGTGTGGTTTGCTCCATCTTTCCTATCAAACATCTATCGTCTTTATCTCTCCTACTTCTTTTTTATGTTTGTTACTCTCTTATAACACCTTTAATCTTCTGGCGCTCATATAACCATATTCAGTTGCGAGTGCCGTAAAACCTCTCCTAAAAAACCCAAAAAAAACAAAACAATGTGATTATAAAATCTGTGTGGCTTACTTACTTTATCCGTCTTCTTATACCTCTAATGTGTCGAGGGGAGAAAAAGCTTGTTGTCTCTAGCAGGTTTGATGGCCTGGCTGGGTGGAATGTTGCATGTTTTCAGAGTATCCGTCCCATTCCCAATCCAGGTCTTCTTCCTTGGTCTTCCTTGGTCTTCCTTGGTCTTCCTTGGTCTTCCTTGGTCTTCCTTGGTCTTCCTCTTGTTTTGTTCCCTGATATTTTTTTGTGGTACTACTTTTTTCCACCACTTTCTTTTTTTCCCCACACGACTCTCTCTCTCTCTCTCTCTCTCTCTCTCTCTCTCTCTCTCTCTCTCTCTCTCTCTCTCTCTCTCTCTCTCGTTAAATGTGTATCTATCTATCTCTCCCTTCACTTAATTGCCACTTCCCCACCATTTTCTCTCTCCAACCCCCTCCCCCTCCCTCTCCCATGTCCCTTCTCCCCTTCTCTCCTTCTCCCCCTCTCCCCCCTCACTTGCCATTTCCCCACCAATATATCTCCTCCTTCCTTCCCTCCTCCTTCCTTCCCTCCTCCCCTTCCCTTTTTTCCACCGCCATTTTTTCACTGCTTCCTTGTAAAGTTACCTGGCGGTCCGATGAGTGGGGTCTGTCAGGGGGCCCCCATCCAAGATAAGTGTTGCCTCGTCGTGGTCCTGAGTCCGACTGAATATCTCAGTGAGTCTCTCAGACGATCTCCGCCTATTTCCCACGGCGGAACCCTTGAGGTCATCCAAGGGCATGCCACTCCTTTAATTATCTTGTCCCCACAGTAAAGATAAGAGTCATGTCCCTTGACATCACACTTCCTTTATTCCCCCTTCCTCTTTCTCATCCCCTTTTCACAGGGTGACTCAGGAGGTCCTCTGGTGTGTGAAGTGGGCGGGGTTTGGGCGGCAGTGGGCGTGGTCTCCTGGGGCTATGGGTGTGGTCACGCCTACCTGCCTGGTGTCTACACAGACGTCAGCGCCTACAGAGACTGGATCGACAGAGTTATTTCCTACGGGTGAGACTGTGATCAATAATAATAATAACGATAATGATAATAATAGAAATTATGATGATAATGATAACATTAACAATAATAATAGTAGTATAATAATAATACTACTAATAATACTAATAAAATAATAATAGTAATAATACTATTACTACTGAGCGTGCTGTGGCGGAGCGGTTAGTGCGCTCGTCTCCGAAGCGGAAAGCCCATGTTTGAGCCTCGGTTCGAACATGGATTTTCTTCGCCCCCTCCTGCCCACCCAGCAGTAATGGGTAAGCCTACCTGACTTTAAGTTGGGGAAATAAAGGCGGTGTGGAAAGGAACTGGCCACCCTACCACAATATGCCGAAGGCCCAGGAAGTTGTCTCACTAACAAGGCAATCCCCAATGTCCGGATCGGATGCGGAAACAACTTTACTACTACTACTACTACTACTACTACTACTACTACTACTACTACTAGCCTAATAACAATAATAATAATATGATCATGATCATTATTATTATTTATCCTTCTTCTTCTTCTTCTTCTTCTTCTTCTTCTTCTTCTTCTTCTCCTTCTCCTTCTCCTTCTCCTTCTCCTTCTCCTTCTTCTTCTTCTTCTTCTAATTATTGATGTCTGTATATATGTGACTGTTTGCCTGTGTTTGTCTGGTGTGGTTCGCTCCTTCTTTCCTATCAAACTTCTGTCGTCACCTCTCCTCCTTCTTTTTCGTGTTTGTTACTCTCTCGTAACACCTCTAATCTCCAGGACTTATATAACCTTATCATGTTGCAAGTGCCGTGAAACACTTAGGCTACTAAAACTAACTGTGCTTGTCTTTCAGTGATTTTAAATGAAAAGATAAGGGAAAACAAAAAAACGGGTGAAGTTACAAAATTTGAGAAAAAATTTTTTTACTACAGAGGAAACAAAAGGCGAAAAACTTGTTTGTGAAGCGTGCTGACAAAATGAGATACTTCTCGGATTCGAGCCTTATAAATGGAAATAGCTACATCACGCTAATAGGTGAAGTTTTTACCATTCACATTCATTATAAAATAATAAAGCCATTTAAAGAATATATGGCATCAATTGTTTTAAAGTTACAAATTTGACTCTAGTGACGATTTTGGGCCAATATATCAATTTGTGAATTGTGAGAAGTAACTCATTTTGTCAGCACGGCTCACGTTTTATATGCTTTGATTCAAAATTTACTTTTACCAAAAGTTTTCATCCGATTTTGTTGTTTGTTTCTGTTTTTGGTGTGTTTGTTTGTAAGAGTGAGATTTACTTTTTTGGTGTTTGTTTGTTTGTAAGTTAAATTAAAATTTTGTTTGTTTGTTTGTTTGTTCCTTCCTCCCAGTGCCAGCAGTGGCAAGAGAGACGCGGCAGACAGCGGCTATTACGTCATTTGAGTCAGACGCATAGATGTCGCAAAAGAGCCAAAGATCTTGAGAGACCTTGCCCCCTTTTGTCATTCGATACTGATTTGTTCC